CCCCCGCTCCCCACTCTTTACCATCTGCTGCTCCCCTCTCCGTCTGGCTGTCTCTCCCTTCCTGTTTCTCATATACCTCCTTCCACATGCAGGGGGCCTAGGCTGGGCAGAGTTAGACCCATGCACGTGTGCATCTGTATGTATGTATGTGTGTGTAATGCGGATCGAGGCTGGGCCCTTGAGGAGCTCTAAGGATGGCAGAGTGGGCTTGGCTAAGAGGCCGAAAGGGTAGCCAGGCTGGCGGGACTCTCGGTTATGGATTCCCTCTTGAGCCAAGGCTCAGGCAGCTTTTCATCTTCTGTTTCCCCTCACAGGCCAATTCTCCCCCTGTGATTGTCAACACAGACACCCTAGAAGCCCCAGGATATGTGAGTTGTTTAGATTTTGGGGCTGGGGCCATTGCAGAAGGAAGGGGAGGGGAGCTGGGCCACAGCAGAAGGGGAGGGGCAGGTTCTCAGGCAGGAATGTCTGTTTCACTGTTTTTGTGTTTCTGTCCCATGCTGGAGTTGCAGGTGAACGGGACCGAGGGGGAGATGGAATACGAGGAGATCACATTGGAAAGGGTGAGCAGGCTCCTCCATCTGAGGTCCCCTTGGTTCCCTGTCCATGCTTTACTCTGTGCCCATCTTTTCTTTTCTTTTCTTTTTTATTTTAAAAGATGACCGGTAAGGGGATCTTAACCCTTGACTTGGTGTTGTTAGCACCATGCTCTCTAAGTGAGCAAACCGGTCATCCCTACATAGGGACTCGAACCTGTGGCCTTGGTGTTATCAGCACCGCGCTCTCCCAAGTGAGCCATGGGATGGCCCTGTGCCCATCTTTTCTTTTCTTTTTTATTTTAAAAGATGACCGGTAAGGGGATCTTAACCCTTGACTTGGTGTTGTTAGCACCATGCTCTCTAAGTGAGCAAACCGGTCATCCCTACATAGGGACTCGAACCTGTGGCCTTGGTGTTATCAGCACCGCACTCTCCCAAGTGAGCCATGGGATGGCCCTGTGCCCATCTTTTCTAGGTGCCCAACCTCTCACCTGTTCCTTCCTGCTCTGGCTGTACCTCTCTAACCCCTTCCCCACTCACCTTGCCAAAATTGGGCATTGAGGGGAGCTGACCCTCTTCCTCTCCTGCCCAGGGTAACTCAGGTCTGGGCTTCAGCATCGCAGGTGGCACTGACAACCCACACATCGGGGATGACCCATCCATTTTCATCACCAAGATCATTCCTGGCGGGGCTGCTGCCCAGGATGGCCGCCTCAGGTGCGGAGAGGAGACAGGGTTTAGGATGCTGGCTCCCTTGAAAGGGAGGGCCAGGGAAGCAGGAAGCTCCTGGCTCAGGCCCACCTTGCTGCTCCCAGGGTCAACGACAGCATCCTGTTTGTAAATGAAGTGGACGTGCGGGAGGTGACCCACTCAGCGGCGGTGGAGGCCCTCAAAGAGGCAGGCTCCATCGTCCGTCTCTATGTCATGCGCCGGAAGCCCCCAGCTGAGAAGATCATGGAGATCAAGCTCATCAAGGGGCCTAAAGGTAGTAACCTGTCTTGTCCCTGTTCCTGTCCCAATTGTCCTGTGCCCCAAGGCCTGCTTCCGAGGCACCTGGACATCCACCTCTGCCCTCCCCTCCACCCAGGTCTTGGCTTCAGCATCGCAGGGGGCGTGGGAAACCAGCACATCCCAGGCGATAATAGCATCTATGTAACAAAGATCATTGAAGGGGGTGCTGCCCACAAGGATGGGAGGTTGCAGATTGGAGACAAGATTTTGGCGGTAAGGACCCCCATCACTTTTTCTAGACCAGACCTGGGTCTTACCTACTGGCCCTGGGAAGGCCCAGGTGGTTCCTTATCACTTCACCCCAGTGCGTCTGCCTTGGGACCATTTCTGCCTGTGTCTGAGTTTTGCTTCCCTTGACCCCAGGTCAACAGTGTGGGGCTAGAGGATGTCATGCATGAGGATGCCGTGGCAGCCCTGAAGAACACGTATGACGTTGTCTACCTAAAGGTGGCCAAGCCCAGCAATGCCTACCTGAGTGACAGCTATGCTCCCCCAGACATCACAACCTGTGAGAGCCCTACAAACCCCAAAGCTCCCCGTGACCCATCCCAGTTACCCCCATGACCTGCAGTCCATGACCTCCCCCTTGGCAGTTCCTCTTCAGATAGTCCCCATGAAATAGCCACAACCTCTGGTACCTGCTGGGGTTGGAGAAGAGATGAAAATCAGTCACTGTAGAAGAACTAGAAAAGATTGTCAACAGTCTCTCCCCTGGAAGGCACAAGGCCCAGTTAGTTGGTTTTATGGATAATTTTATGAAATCTTCAAGGAACAGATAATTCTTATGCTCTTTGAGAGTATAGGAAAAGATAAAAGGTTTTACATTTCATTTTATAAGGCCAGTTCAAATGGTCACAAAGGGCCGAGCCCGTGGCGCACTCGGGAGGGTGCGGCGCTGGGGGTGCAGTAGCGCTCCCGCCGTGGGTTCGGATCCTATATAGGGATGACCGGTGCGCTCACTGGCTGAGCGTGGTGCGGCCAGTCTCAAAAAGGACAAAAACAAAAAACAAAAAAGGGATGACCGGTGCGCTCACTGGCTGAGCGTGGTGCGGCCAGTCTCAAAAAGGACAAAAACAAAAAACAAAAAAGGGATGACCGGTGCGCTCACTGGCTGAGCGTGGTGCGGCCAGTCTCAAAAAGGACAAAAACAAAAAACAAAAAACATGCAATTCAAATGGTCACAAAGTTAACACAGAAATATGAAAGTATAGACCAATTTTGCTTCTGAATAGAGCAGAAGTTAATAATAACACAGTAGCAAACCCAACACAGCAGCCTATTAAGAGAATAACATTGTCACAGTGGTGTTATGACACCAAGGTCAAGAGTTTGGATCCCTGTGTCCGTCAGCCACCACCCCCAAAAGAAAAAGCATTTTTTTTTAAGAAAACTAAAGGTAGTTCAATATTAGGAAATCAATATTAGGAAATCTCTTAATATGGCTCATTATATTAAATTAAGGGAGAAAAACTATAAGATCATCTCAAATAGGTATGGGAAAGGCATTTAATGAAATTCAACATCTATTTTCAGATGAAAATTTGTAATAAACAAGGAACAGGGGAATTTTTCTTAACATGATGAAGAGTAGTTATCAGAAACCAACAACAAACGTTTCATAATGATAAAATCTTAGCAGCGTGTCCACTCATTTAGGAGCTAGTCAAGGATGCCTCTTATTGCTATTACTGTTCGTTGCTTTACAGCAGAGTTTCTCAATGTTGGTGCCATAGACATTTTTGGACTTGATAACGCTTTGTTGTGGGGGGTTGTCCTTTGCATTGTAGAATATTTAACAGCATCCCTGGCCTCTTTCTATTAGATGACAATTGTACTCCTGCCCCCAAAACAAAAATGTTATGACAAAATTGCCGCAGCAAACTTCCCCTGGTTGAGAATCACTCAGTTCAATCTGGTTGAGATTTCAGACAGTGTAGCAAGACAACGAATAAGCAGATGTTACATTTGGAAAGGGAGAAACAAAATTATTCTTATTTGTAAATTATACTATTGTCCATCTAGCTTAAAATCTAAGTGAATTAATGGGAATACTTAGAAATAATATGGGAGGTTAAAAATGTGGCCTTCAGTTGGTTAGAGTGTGGTGCTATAACACCAAGGTCAAGGGTTCGGGTCCTCATACAGATCAGCTGCCAAAAACCAAAATAATGTACGTGGCCATATGTAAGATAAATAACAAGAATTAGTAACTTCTCATTGATGAGAAGATGTAGTGGGTGACAAGATCCCTTTTTCTATAGAAAAAAAATTCTACAGAATTTTCTGAAATATAAGCTTGACAAGAAATATCAGATCTATATGAAGAAAATGATGAAACTTTATGGAAGGACATAAAACAAGACTGGAAAGAATGAAGTCTCACACCATGTTTCTGGATGGAAAATCTTTTTTTTTTTTTTTTTTTTCTCTTTTTTCGTGTCTGGCAACGGATCGCAACCCTCAGTGTCGCGCCCGTACCGGACCGGGACTGGCAACGGGATCGCAACCCTCGGTGTTGCGCACGCACCTTGCTCAGCCAGTGAGCGGGAACCGGTCCGTATGTGGGATCCGAACCCTCGGCAGGAGCGCCACCGCGCTCCCAAGCGGCGCACTGTAGCAGTGCGCCACCGGGCCGGCCCTGGATGGAAAATCTTAATATGCTGAAGATCTCAACCCTCTCCAAATTAATCTATACATTTTATGCAATCCTAATCAGAATTTTAATGTTTTTTCCCCCTGGGAAGTTAGCAGGTTGATTCTAAAGTTCTACTGGAAAAATATGTGTGGGAGAATAGCTGAGACATTTTTGGAAAGGAATACTGAGGTGTGACTGCCCCTATCAAACATGAAGTCACACTGTAAAACCATATTAAAGTAACATGGCCCTATTTTGAAGTATTATAGCCAACCAAAAGGAACCTGGGCTCCTTGGAAAAAGGGCCAATACCAAATTTTGGGCAAGAAATTTTTGTTTTTTTTTTGGTGGCTGGCCAGTGCAGGGATCTGAACCCTTGACCTAGGTATTTCAAGGCAGTGCTCTAACCAACTGAGCTAACCGGCTAGTCCTTTGGGCAAGAAATGTTCAAGGTGAGCTTGTAACATATTTCATACTAGAAAGCAAAGAAGGTATCCAAGACTGCTAGGGTCATTTCAAAGACACAGGTGCCAAATTGATGGAGTTCCTACTGGCCATTCAGTCAAAACTCATTAAATATATTAAAATCCATGAGGTCATAATAATACTTAAAAATAATTGGGTACTTTTGGAGGATGCTAGGGATCTCATTCATTCTGAAAACTGATCATTAAAGGGAGAGAGTCAAGCATTTATTCTCCCTTTCCTGCACAAACTGCACTTCAGAGTAACCAAAAGGTTGACATAGGACAGTTCTTGATAAAAGAATTGCCACTAATAAATGCTCCCCAGTCCCTGATAGGTATTAGAACTGGGCAGCAATCATCGATGGCAGCTAAAACTTAGGTGAAAGGCTGACGAGACACTTTATAATGGATGGACCAGGCTGATAACACCTGAACTTACAGATTGATCTTACCTAGAAGAAAGACAACCAGGTGTTGCCGTATCCTGTGGTGATGCAGTAGGAAGTACACAGCACAACCTCTGAAGTGTACTTCCTCAAAAATTGATCTTGAATCTGACCGAGCCTCTCGAACGAACTACCAGTTCACATGAGATCCAAGGGTAGAGGCACAGGTTAAACAGCACCATGGGAATGGAAGCAATCCTTTCTTTGCCTGTTAGAATTTCCCTCATAGAATGTGTGGAATTCCTTCAGACAATGACCTAGGTTTTTCAACAAGTGAGTGGCCAAGAGAAGAAGGAAAAAAAAAAGGGGGGTGGGGGTGGCAAAGAATTTTCTGGATTAAGAGATTTGAGAGACACAGCAACCAAAAGAAAATCCAAAAAGCATGGTGTTAATGTTCTTTTATTTCACCATCCCTGGCACGCTGAGGACACATAACCTTCAAATCTTTGTCCCCTAGGAGAACCAGCTTCTGATGTCACCCATATATTCCTGACCCCTGATGTCACTGTGATCTGATGTCCACTTTCCCGCTAACCCTAGTATCTCTGGCAGAATAACTTCCCTTTCACCTGTGTCTGGCTCTCCTGGTTCCCTAGGGAGAAGGTGGGGTGGTGGGTGCTGTTTCCCTCCTCGTGTTTTCATCTCATCCTCCTGCCATGTCTTCCCTCAGCTTATTCCCAGCATCTGGACAACGAGATCAGTCACAGCAGCTACCTGGGCACCGACTACCCCACAGCCATGACCCCCACTTCTCCGCGGCGTTACTCCCCAGTGGCCAAGGACCTACTGGGGGAGGAAGACATTCCCCGAGAACCGAGGCGAATTGTGATCCACCGGGGCTCCACAGGCCTGGGCTTCAACATCGTGGGTGGCGAGGACGGTGAAGGCATCTTCATCTCCTTTATCCTGGCCGGGGGCCCTGCAGACCTCAGTGGGGAGCTGCGGAAGGGGGACCAGATCCTGTCGGTGAGGGAAGGCTTGCCCCTGCTTTCGTAGCCCCACCCCTCAGGGCAGAGCCCAGAGCTCTTGGGGGGCTTGGGTGGGCTGAAGCCTGGTCCTCATGCTGGACTACTCCCTGTTCCACCTGGACCCAAGAAGTGCTGCCTCCCTGTCTGCAGTGACTCAGCCTTTCCTCCTGTCTCTAGGTCAATGGTGTTGACCTCCGCAATGCCAGCCATGAGCAGGCTGCCATTGCCCTGAAGAATGCGGGTCAGACAGTCACGATCATCGCTCAGTATAAACCAGAAGGTACCAGGCCTGAAGCTTCCTGTCTGTGCACTGAGATGGTCACCAGAACTCTGCCTCCTCAGCTGATGTCTTTGGCGGGGGTGGAGGGGGTGGCAGTAGGATGGGGCTGGAGCTCAGGAACCTTCTTGTTCTTTCTCAGAGTACAGCCGATTTGAGGCCAAGATCCACGACCTTCGGGAACAGCTCATGAACAGCAGCCTGGGCTCAGGGACAGCCTCCCTGAGGAGCAATCCCAAAAGGGGTTTCTACATCAGGTCAGCGGCTTCCCAGCTGGGCTCCTCAGGCCCCTGCGAGTTCTTTGTTCTCTGCTTGGCCTCTGTCCTCATCCACCTCTTCCCTAAACCCTGCCTGGCTCCAGCTCCCCCACCTAGGCCTGGCACCCAGCTGGTGTTCATGGGCTTGCTACACAGGTTAACATTTGTGAATACTCCATGTCTGTTGGAAAACAGTCTCTGCCCCAAATATCCCAATTGCCTTCTAGCCCCTGGTTACCCCAGCACTTCCCCAAGGACTTCCAGACTGCCTCATAATTTGGCACCTAAAAGGTTAATGCCTGGCTTAGCAGGGGGCCTCTAGGATAGCCTGTCTACTGTCTCTTTGGTGGCATTTTGCTCCTTTCCTGGGGCTCCTCTTCCCATGGCTTCCTCTTTCCCACCCTGCCCCAGTGCAGACACTGTGGCTCAGGTTTCTGCCACACCCTCTTCTCTTCTTCCTCTCTAATCCTGTCTACTCGCAAGGCCCCTTCTGCTGCTCCACTCTGCAGGTGTCTCTGCACTGGCAGCCCTGGTAACCTGACTTCTTCCCAGAGGTCCAGGCCTGTAATTCTGGCCATCTGCTTTCTGGCTGTGTCCACTGGGATGTCCCACAGGCATCTCACACTCAGTGTGTTCCAAACGGAGCTCATTGTCTTTCTCCTGTGCACTTGGATTCGCTGTTTTGCCGAATCAGGGTTTTCTCTCATGCTGAATCCACCACCATCCACCCAGATACCTGGCTCAAACCTGAGTCTGCGCTTGGCCCTGTCCTCCCTGCTGGGGTCCAGTTGGTTCCCAAGGTCATTCAGTTCTGAAGCCCAGATGACATCAAGTGATTGTGGGGTCTCTTCTCTTCTTTCCAGTCCATTGCTTTACTCTGCCTCTTTGCTTTCATCAGAGAGAGCGGTTGTTTCTTCTTTTGTCCTGAACTCAGGGGTTGTGACTTATTAATAGGAATTTGATACTGATAAGAGTAACCAAAATTTGCAAATGATGGGCCTTTTTTTTCTTATGAATTTGAGCAGATTCTGGGTTACCCATGTGACTTTGTGACATGCACAGATATTGCAAACTGCTTTCTTGAGAGGGTGGAGTTCTAGCTCTCCCTCTGGAACTTGCACACAGCATGGACTGAATCATGGGGAATAGTTGTGGTGATTACGAGTTTCAGTGAAGTTTTTGGTCCCCACACAGTTCTTGGGTTCCTCAGAGTCCTCAGCCCCCTTGGGAGTGCCATCAGCAGCCTACACTTTGCTGCAGACCCCTTGTCCAGCACCTCTGCTGGGTCTCAGGGTGGCTGGGGCCTCCTTCCTGGAGTCCTCAGCCAGGCTCTGACCAATAGCCACTTGCCCTCCAGGGCCCTGTTTGATTATGACAAGACCAAGGACTGCGGCTTCCTGAGTCAGGCCCTGAGCTTCCGCTTTGGAGACGTTCTGCATGTAATCGATGCTAGTGATGAGGAGTGGTGGCAGGCGCGGCGGGTCCACTCTGACAGTGAGACTGATGACATTGGCTTCATCCCCAGTAAACGGCGGTGAGTCTCCTGGGACATGGCCTTCCTACCCAGGCTCTGAAGTTCCCAAAGTCCTCCAGGGTGGGCAGCCAGTAGAGGATGGGTCTGCCCTCTGATCTCTCTGGGGTCTGTCTGCTGGGCCCTCCTGGGGACCATGGGTCTCATGAGCCTTTGGGACAGGCAACTCCTCACTGAAAAGCACAGGGCCCACGGGCAGCTGGGGATGGGGTTATCAGCTGGTCCAGCTGGACCATAGGGCCCCTCACTGGGCATTTCCCTACCCTCACCACTCCATATATTCCACAGGGTTGAGCGACGGGAGTGGTCAAGGTTAAAGGCCAAGGTAGGTGGAGGAGAGGTGAGCATGGGTGGAGAGTCAGGGACTCACAGAACTGAACAAGTAACCAACCGTGTGGCCTGCTTTTTCCTCCTAGGATTGGGGCTCCAGCTCTGGATCACAGGGTAGGTAGGGTCAGTGTGGGAAGACTTGGGGTGAGAGGAGTGCTGAGCTGCTCTTCACATCCTTAGGAAGACAAGGCAGGAGCTCTGGGTCCCCTGTCTCAGAGCCCTTTGCAGACACCCTACCTCCCACCAGGTCGAGAAGATTCGGTGCTGAGCTATGAGACAGTGACGCAGATGGAAGGTGAGCCCTAGCCCTGCCTTGGCCCAGCCCCTCCTGCTTCCCTGCTCTGTTCGCCGCCTAAGCTGCTCTCTCTCCTCACAGTGCACTATGCTCGCCCCATCATCATCCTTGGGCCCACCAAGGACCGCGCCAATGACGATCTTCTCTCCGAGTTCCCGGACAAGTTTGGATCCTGTGTTCCCCGTGAGTGCTGGGGCCTCGGGTGGAGGTGGAGGTGGGGGTAGGGATGGAAGTGGGGATTGGGGTAGCATGGGGAAGGGTCCAGAAGCCCCAGGGCTGGGGACCAAATGCAGTGCCACCTGTGGGCAGGGTTCCTCAGAGAAGGGGTGCTGCTCAGCCACCCTCACGTCCCCCAGGCCAGAGACTCAGAGGCCCCAGAGGGTGCTGGGAGAGGTGGTTCTGTCCTTCCTCAGTCTTGGTGTCCCCAGCAACCCCCTTCCACCAAAGGACCAGCTGAGCACTATGGGGGTTTCATTGATGTAGGGAGGTCTTTAGCTAGAGGGATGGTGGTTAGATCTTTGTGGGGGTGGGGTGACTTCCTGGCAGATACAACACGGCCCAAGCGGGAGTATGAGATAGATGGCCGGGATTACCACTTTGTGTCGTCTCGGGAGAAAATGGAGAAGGACATTCAGGCGCACAAGTTCATCGAGGCCGGCCAGTACAACAGCCACCTCTATGGGACCAGCGTCCAGTCCGTGCGAGAGGTGGCGGAGCAGGTAGGAGCCCGCGGACCCTGTCCTCTTCCTTCTGCCCTCCCCACCCCACTGCCTCCCTCCAGCTCTCTCTAACTCTCTTCTCTCTGTCTCTTTCCCTGCTGGGTCTCCACTCCGCTGCTCCACCTCCTTCTCCTCTTGGGCCACCCTGTCTGACTGCCTGCTCTCTTGTGCCCTGTTCCCCGCCTCCCTTACTTCCTGACCCCAAACTCCCCACCGTCATCTGTCCCCTTTTTCTCCTCCCCTGCTCTCCTCCTTGCCCCATTTCTTCTCTTTTCCCATGGCCTTGTCTTTGGTGGCTTGGCCTCCCCCAACTTGGCCCCTCCCTTGTCCCTGATTCCCCTGTCCCTCACCTTTTCCTGGGGTCCCCACCCCCTCTCCAAACGTTCTGCTAACTCCCTGTCCCTGCTGCTCCCCACCCGCCTGCCCTCCACGGCTCCTTTCTCCATCTGCCTCCCCTCCCTCCCATCTGTCTCCCCTTGTTCCTTCCATCTGTCTGTCCTCTGTCCGTCCTCCCCACCCTCCTCCCTCTATCCTACTTCCTTTCTCCTTTCCCTTTGCTTTTGCTCCTAACCTGTCCCGTTTCTGCCTTCCATACCCCACCCCTCTCACTGCTGCCCCTCTTGTCCCTGCTCTGCTGCCATCTTTTGGGCCCCCTCCCTGCCTGCTTCTCCTCCCTTCTGTCCCTCCCTCCCTCCCCTCCCGTGCTTGGCTGCTTCCCTGCCTTCCGTCTTCCCCTTTCCTTTTTCTCTCTGTCTTTCACTCTGCCCATACTCCCTTCCCGCCCTGACTCTCTCTGCCCATGTGTCTTTTGACATCCATGTCACTTGCCCTTTGGCCAACCTCCGGTTCCCCACCTTTCCATATCCTTTGTCCCATTCTGGCACCCCGTCTGTCCTTTTCCGTCACTTGCTGGTCCCCCTCCGCCCACCCTGCCTGCCCCCAGGGGAAGCACTGCATCCTCGATGTCTCGGCCAATGCCGTGCGGCGGCTGCAGGCGGCCCACTTGCACCCTATCGCCATCTTCATCCGCCCCCGCTCCCTGGAGAATGTGCTGTGAGTATGGTCCCCGGGGCCTCCCCTCCCCCCCACCTGTGGCCCTGGGCCTCACGAGGCCTCTGCGTTGAACTCTCCCCTCAGAACCCTGGACAGCCCTTGAGGGGGATCTGCACGGAGAGCTGGAACCCAGAGGATGCAGGGAGTCCCAGGCCTTCCCCCTCCTCGCCTGCCTTGGGCTAGGCAGGACTACAACTCCCAGCAGCCCCTGGGGTACCTGACAGCTGGGGCAAGCCAGGGCCTCAGGGGCTGTTGGGAGTTAGAGTCTGAATCCCTTCTGTGGGGCTGAAGGCTGGAAGAGTGAAGCTCTGGAGAGGGCCCTGGAGTAGTCACATCTGGCTGGGGTGGGTCGTGGGGTGGGGGTGGGGCGCTCATCTGTGGCCCCAGAGGATACTGGGACTTATATTTTTTTGCTACGTGCTCCAAATAAGAAAATACCAGTTGCAACTCAACATCCGTGGATGGAGGAGGTAAAAGGCAAGGTGGGGCCCACGCAGACATCTCTCTCCCTTTTCACAGAGAGATTAACAAGCGGATCACAGAGGAGCAAGCCCGCAAAGCCTTCGACAGAGCCACCAAGCTGGAGCAGGAGTTCACAGAGTGCTTCTCAGGTGAGGCTGCAGCAAGGCTGTCGCCAGCACATAGGGAACCTTAGCCTGGATTCCAAAGAGCTGCCCCTACTTCATGGATAGCTTAGAAAGAGGTGTCCCCTGGGGGTGGTGCAGCCCCATGGCCCATGGCTTGGAGAATTAGAAAAGGTACCACTTCCTCTGTGCTGGTGCCACCCTCTCGACCAGGCCCTTGGCCTCACTCCCTGCTCCACCCCACTCCCAGCCATCGTGGAGGGCGACAGCTTTGAGGAGATCTACCACAAGGTGAAGCGTGTCATCGAGGACCTCTCAGGCCCCTACATCTGGGTCCCAGCCCGAGAGAGACTCTGATTCCTGCCCTGGCTTGGCCTGGACTCGCCCTGCCTCCATCACCCGGGCCCTTGGTCTGGACTGAATTGCCCAAGCCCTTTGCACCCCCTGGCCTCCCTCCTAGTCCTTCTTATTTATTTCCTTTCTAACCAGATCCAGCCCATTGGAGGGGGGACGCTCCTCTGCATGTATCCCTGCACCCCAGACCTGGGCTTCTGAACCCCAGGAACCTGGAGTCTGGGGGGGAGCTGGGCTCCTGGTTCTGAGCCTTGCTCCTTAGGACCCCTACCCCTGCCCGCCCCCAACGCACACTGACCTACCGGGGGCCACCCGCCCTCTCCCATCTTTTCCCACACACATTCCAGAAGTCAGGGCCCCCCTCAAGGAGCACCCGCTGCAGGGATGCAGGGCCACAGGCCTCTGCTCTCTCCTGAGGCAGGGGCTGGGGTCACTCCTGCCACCATCATGACTCCCCATGTCCCTTGATTTCTCATTTATTTTTTCGATTTTTTTCTTTCTCAAAGGTGGTTTTTGGGGGGATACGTAGGGGGACTCCACTGTGGGCCCCCTGCCTTCCACATGCCCCCCACCTTTTTTCTTTGCTGGTTTGCATGAGTGGAAGGTTTAACTGTGGCTTTTTTTTTTTCCTGGGATATTTTTTTTTGGGGAAAGGGGAGGGATGGGTCTAGGGAGTGGGGAATGTGGGAGGGGGGGGGCAGGGGTCGGGGTGTCTGGGAGCCAGGGGAAGACTGGAAATGCTGCCGCCTTCTGCAATTTATTTATTTATTTTTTCTTTTGAGAGAGTGAAAGGAAGAGACAGATACTTGAAACTCGGTGTGTGGCCTGGTTATTTGGGACCCAGGTGTGGAGGGAGACAGGTTGGGGGCATAGGGATGAATGGGTCTGGCAAAGTCAGATCCTTCCTCACCCCAATCCAGAGAGAATAGAGAGGCCAAATCAAGGAAGCAGAATTGGTGAAGAATGGGCCTGGAAAGGCTGGAGCTCTGTCCAAAGTCATTGACAGACCCAGATGTGCTCGCTTCGGCAGCACATGTACTAAAATTGGAATGATATAGACCCAGAAAGGGGAGGCCTGACTTGCATGGGACCCTGCAAACTCAGTCCAGCCCTGAGCACTCCCCTGGGCTGTCTCAGTCCTGTTGGGCAGCACAATAGTCCCTAGAGGGACATATTGAGGAAACTTTCTTCATTTGTGTTTGTGGAGTTGTGGATGGAGCTGGGCTCTGGAGATGATCTTTACAGAGGTTTGCTGATAAGAAATGCTATGCGAATATTTTTCATTGGCTTTCTTTATGCCCCATCTCTACAGGAAAGATTTGAAGCAGCTTTGCAAATAATGAGGGTAGGAAAATAGAACATTGATAACCCAGGATAAAATAGGAGAAACAGATAACACTAGCAATGAGGGTAAATGTGATCTCCAAGTTTCCTGGTGGCCAGAGCAAAAGGAAAATGGTCCATTACCTAGTCATAAAGGAGAAAGAATTTTAGTTCTTTTAGGGAGTCAGATTTTCCTGCTCCTAAGTTCTGACTGAAATGTCCAAGATGCTGCTTTATGAAATAGTGATACTCAACCTTCCTTTGGCCTCTGTTCACCTGCTTGACAAGCTCCTGCCTGAGCTGTGGTGTAGGTAAGCCATTGCTGACACCAGCTGTGAAGTCACCTCCTTCCTCTGCTTTTCAGGGGCCCCAGAGGGGAAGACTGAGGTAGAGAGCCTAAAGCGGTGGTGGTTAAATCCTGAGCAGTGCAAGAGGGCAGTTTTTGTAGCCACCCCTAGTTGAGAGGTGGATGCAAAAGACTGACCCAGGGGCAGTGATTCTGGGGAGGGCGTGGCTCCCCAGCCTAACCTGATCCAAGGATAAAGGCAGACATTACTGATGGGGTGTCACTAGAACTGGTGGTCACCTCCATGTGTTGCCCTGCAGAATTTTCAGTGCAGCACCCTGTCCAGCAGAATCTAACCTACTCAATCCTGAGAGTAGGATCCAGGGGTCTGCATTTCAGGAAACTGCCCGGGCGATTCTGATGTCTTGCTGGGCGGAGACGTACTGCTTCAGAGGACATTTTTCTTTTTTTTTGGTCCTTTTTGAGACCGGCTGCACCGCGCTCAGCCAGTCATCCCTATATAGGATCCAAACCCACGGCGGGAGCGCTGCTGCGCTCCCAGCACCCCACTCTCCCGAGTGCGCCACGGGCTCGGCCCAGAGGACATTTTTCTTTTTTTTTCTTTTCTTTTTTTTTTAAAGATGACCGGTAAGGGGATCTTAACCCTTGACTTGGTGTTGTCAGCACCACGCTCTCCCACGTAAGCGAACTGGCCATCCCTATATAGGATCCGAACCCGTGGCCTTGGTGTTATCAGCACCGCACTCTCCCGAGTGAGCCACGGGCCGGCCCCCCAGAGGACATTTTTCAAATAATCCTTCTAGCTTGGTTCTGCAAAGGAGCAGGTGGGTTGAAGCTGTGCTGTTCTGTACCATGGGCTGAAGGGAGGAATCTGGGAGCTGAGGAAGGTGTGTGCCTGTAACACGTTTGGATCTAAGGAGTTAAGGATAGTTTACCTGGAAGGGGTAGAATCACTTAATTCTGCATGCATTATTTTCTAAGTTATAAAAGTAATACATGCACCTGACAGAAATTTAAGTAAATATAGAAATATATATGGTTAAAAAAAAGTTCCTTCCCTGTTTCATTCCATATACTCATAAGCTTGGTTGCAGTTTAGGATGTATTCTTCCAAGTCTGCAGAGAACTCTTTCCTGACCGCTTAAGAAGTCAGTGTACTTTAGTGGACAAGAGCACGGGGCTTCCAAACAGACTTGGGTTCAAATCCTGGTCCCTCTTTCCCAAACGCTCTTTAATTCTTTCAGCAAATACTTATTTGGATCTTCCTTGGTGTCAGGCAGTGTTCTAAATGCTGGGATGGCAATGTCCTTGTCTTCAGGGAACTTTGGGTCCATCCAGTGGGGATGACAGACAGGAGGTAATAAACTATCTCCAAATGTATCATTACCTGACAAATATTATTTAATGAATGTATCATTATTTAAATATTAAATAATGAATGTATCATTATTTGACAAATATTATTTAGTGAATGTATCACTATCTGACAAATATTGTTTAATGGTATATGCCGTTAAACAAATAGTGACTGGTGAGCACGTGTCCTTGCTAGTTGAGACAGGATGGTGAGGGAAGCTTCTTGGAGCAGCGTTTGGGTGGAGGCTGAATGATTACAAAGACTGGGATTGAGGTGAGTTTGCCAAGTGGAGGAGTAGCAGGGCAGGAATGTCTGAAAGGTTGGGTGACAGGAGGTCACTGAGATGGAGCAAGGTGGCGGGTGGGAGATGGGTGGGAGAAGTAAGCGAGGCCTGACATGTAGGACTTTAGGAGGATTTTACTCAAAGTGCCTTCAAAAAGCTTTGGAGGGCTGTAAGGCGGGAGCCACAGGGTTTCTGTTTCAGCAGGGCGGCTGCATGTGCTGAAGAACGCACAGTAGAGGGCGATAGAGAGCCGGGTGGCTGTGGCTGCGGCTGAGGTGAGAGATGGTGGCGTCCCTGCACTTTGGGCAAAGAGCTTAACCTCTCTGAGCCTCAGTTTTACTTGCTGTAAAATGGAAGTAATAACTACCTACCTCACTGTTCTTGTGAGGAATAAAGGAATAAAGATAATACATGTAAAGTCCTTAGCACAGTGCCTGGCACACGGTAGAAAATGGTAACGGGCAGGGCTGGCCGGTTAGCTCGGGTGGTTAGAGCAGGGTGCTGGCAACACCATGGTCCGGGGTTTGGTCCCTGTACCAGCCAGCTGCCAAAAGAAAACATTATTGCTATTGGCCTCTTGGTCTATTTTCAGTCACTGTGTAAAGCTGAAAGTTAAATAAAACCTGGAAACATTTAGAATTTTAGAATTTTCTAAAACTTTCACCCTCCAAAAGTAGGAAGGAGGCACAGAGGAGATCCTGGTCACAGAGCCCTGGCTTTTCTTTTCTTTTTTTTTTCCTTTTTTGTCTTTTTTACTGACCGGCAACGGGATCATAACCCTCGGTGTTGCGCCCGCACCGCGCTCAGCCAGTGAGCGGGAACCGGTCTCCACATGGGATCCGAACCCTTGGCGGGAGTGCCGCCACGCTCCCAAGCAGCACACTCTCCAGTGCGCCACCGGGCCGGCCCGAGCCCTGGCTTTTCTAGGCAGAAAAGTTGGGGTGTGCCTGGGGTGGAGAGAGTGGAGTCGGGGAGGAGAGAGCCAGGACAGAGAGAAAGACCCCTGTCCCCACAGAGATGGGGAGCTGAAGCCCTTGGGGTGGGTTGTGTCAGTTCAGATTTTGAACTCATGTGCAGAGAGCCATTTCCTCCTTCCAGCCTCAGCCATCCTTCTCTTCCCTTGCCTCTACCCCTAGTGCTGGGTCCTCCAGCCTGAATGTGGTCCCTTAGCCTCTCCTGCTTCATCTCAACCCAAGCCCTGCTCAGCCTCTCCTAGATGTGGGGAACCTTTGGCCACCCTCTTTTTAAGGTCAGCACTGACCCTTCGCTTTACCCTCCTGCCCACTCATTCAGTCATCTCTTCTCGAGATCTGCTGTGCCAGACTCTCTGCAGGCCTGGGGTGCCGAGAAGCACGAGATGTAGCCCAACCTTCTGGGTCTGGGGCAAGAGCAAGGTAGGCCCATCCCAAACATGAGGTTGGAAGTGCTCTGAGAGGGGTGGGCAAGGGCTGAGGGAGCTCAGAGCCCAGGTCCCCTTCTCCGTAGAAGGGGAGGGGCTGCCCTAAGTCAAATACCTCCTGGGGCCCCAGCTGTCCCAGCGAAGTTGCTAACCATCCTCTGGGGTGTGGGGGGAGACATCCTCTGCTGTCCTGATCCCACTTTCACACACACTCAAAGAGGTCCCCAAGGTCTAACTCAATGCTTGGCTGTGCTGCTAGTGAGAGTAATAAAAATGACAATAGCTAGCATGTGCTGGCACTGAGCTAAATGCTTTTCACTCATTATCTCATTTAACCTTGACAATAACTCTCTGAGTGGGCATTAAACCCACTTTCTCTCCCTGGCAGTCTTTTTTTTTTTGGCGGCTGGCTGGTATGGGGATCCAAATCCTTGATCCCTGTGTTGCAAGGCTGCACTCTAACCAACTGAACTAACCTGCAGTCTTTAACCTGGCACCTGGGGTCCCCAGAGCTGGCCTGAAGGTCACCGGCACTTCTCAGCTTATATGGCTGGCAGTCCTGGGGCTCTGTCTTCTCTTCACCCACTGGTAGGGACTCTGTTCTGGGCTGCTTTTTCTCCACTAAGGCCTCTCACAGAGTGGACGCATCACAGGGCTCTTTGCCACACCTGGGCCACCCCCAGGACTCTGCCCTCAGGTCTTTCTGCAGACTCCAGACCCATCTCTAGCAGCTTTCTGGACCCTGGCCAGGTGTGCTGCTGCCCATCCCCCTCTCCCCAGCTCCTTCCCTCCCTGCACATTCAGCAGGCACCAGGTCCACTCATTCCTCTGCTAAAGTTCTGCCCCTGTGGCCCTCTCTCTTTGGCCTCGAGCCTCACAGTTTCTCACTGGGACCAACACAGCAGCCTCCTGACCGATCTTCCTGCCTCTGGGCCTCCCACCTCTGACCCAGCACCCACACCAAGGCCAGACCATTATGCAACTTACAGATCTGACCTCACCACTGCCCTGCCTGCAATCTTCATGGGACCCCATAGTCTATAGTCACAATTTTAAGTTTGTTGATCATGTGCCCCTGCCAGTAAAATGTTTTTGAGCATGTGTCTCCCCAATGTATACTCATCTATTCTATACGTGTTGTGGTAGCCAGCCTTCAAGATGGCCCCAGTGGTTCTCACCTCCTGGTGTTCACACCCCTGTGTAGCTCTCCCACGCTGAGCAGGGCTGACCAGTGTGAACAATAGGAGAGTGTGGAAATGATGGACTGTTACTTCTGTGCTGGGCCATAAAAGAAGTTGTGCTCTTGGATCATTTGCTGGGGGCAGGGGTTGGGAGCCAGCTGCCATGTTGTGAGGACACCCAAGCAGCCCTGTGGAGAGGCCATGTGAAGAACTGAGGCCCCTTGTCAACAACCAGCACCAGCTTGTTCGCCATATGAGAGGGTCACCTTGGCAGTTGATCTTCCAGCCTTGGTCAGGTCTTTGAAAGAACATGGCACTGGCTGAAATCTGGACTGCATCCTTGTGAGAAGCCCTGAACCAGAAGCAATTGGCTAAGCTGCACCCAGATTCCTGACCCTCGGAAACTGAGTGAGGTGGTCAATATCCATTGCTTTAAGTTGCTAAGTTCTGGAGTAACTATTTTGCAGCAATAGATAAATAATACACACATATAGCTGTACAAATCTATTACATACATTATAAAACATATCCCAAATAGAAACCTAGAGAAAAGGGATTAAAAAATATATATGTCTATGTCTTAATATTTTCTTCCCCTATTCGTAATGGATGATCTTGTGACCCCTTAGGGGGCATGTCCCCTACTTTGAAGACCTCTATGCTTCTGAATGACATTCCAAATGCCTCTCCCTGGGATTCAAGGCCCTCCTCAGGGTGGCCCAAGCTACCTCTCTGGGCTCAGTTTCTGACTTTCTCATTTCTCTTCTGCTTCTATTCCCTCTACCCAGGGTCACCTGCTTATTACCACTGATAAAATCCTGCCTGTTGTTCTAGGCCCACATTATAGACCTCCTTTAGGGAGCCTTTCTTGATTGCCCTGGAGGTGGGATTCCCAGGTTCTAAGCCTAGCTTGCCATGTTTGAATTGCTCTTGGACATGTGTGCATTCCAGAAGGAATCATGCTGAGAGAGGGACAGGGTGGTTGTTTGTGTGAAGTGTGGTAGGCAGAGTTCTAAAAGCAGCCCCCCAAGCTTCCACACCGAATCCCTGGAACCCATGACTATGATGGGCTGTCATTCTCATGCTTATTTATAGTTGACCTTATATATAGATGAAACCACATATATCTCATATATGTATATATGTTATATACAAAATTGACCTTATGATGGGAAGATTATCCAGGTGGGCCTAATCTAATCACACGGCCTCTTTAAAAGCACAGAGGAAGTCAGAGAGATGTGAAGCATGAGAAAGATTCCATGCACTGTTGATGACTTTGAGGATGGAGGGGCCATGTGACAAGGAATGTGGGTGGCCTCTAGAAACAGAGAGCGGCCTCTGGCTGACATCCAGCAAGGAAATGGGGACCTCAGACCTACAGCTGCAGGAACTGGATTATGTCAGCAGCCTGAGTGAACCTGGAAGTGGATTCTTCTCCTTAGCCTCCCGAAAGGAATACAGTCCTGCCAGCACCTTGATCTTGACTCAGTGAGCCTGAGCACAGAACCCAGTTGGACTTCTGCCCTACAGTCTGTGAGCTAATAAATGGGTACTGTCTTAAGCCACTACATTTGTGGTATTTTGTTACTCAGCAGTACAAAGTTAATACATGAGGCTTTTCCCTGAAGATCTTGCACAACTCAAGGTATAATTTTTTTTTTTTTTTGGTGGGTGCCAGTATGTAGATCTGAACCCTTGACCTTGGTGTTATAATACTGAGCTCTAACCAACTGAGCTAACTGTCCAGCCCTAAGATATATATTCTTTATTTTTATTTTATTTTTTATTAAGATGACAGGTAAGGGTATCTTAACCCTTGACTTGGTGTTATCAGCCCCACATTCTCCCAAGTGACCCAAATGGCCATCCCTATGTAGAGATCTGAACCCTTGGCGTTGGTGTTATCAGCACCACATTCTCCCAAGTGAGCCATGGGCTGGCCCAAGATACATATTCTTAAAGGAATAAATGTAAGGGGTGGATGAGTTCTCAGAGTGCATAAATCTATCACCATTGTGGCATAGTTTTGCTTTTCAGCTACTTTTTGGTTTTTCAGTATGGATTATCTCTGGTATTTTGCAGAGGGCTTGCTTGTAAATGAGTGGCCTGGCACATCATGGTGTTTGTCTGTCTGTGTCTTATCATTTCTGACTTCCACTCTAAAGTTATTGGCTTTGGAGGGTGTTTTTTAGCACTGGTCCAAGCACTGCTCTCTAGTCACTGAGTCTGGGGAAGGAGGTTGTAGGGTAGACACCAGATTTCAAAACATTGTATTCCAGTACAACATACAAACAGAAGAATGCACAGACCATAAACCTACAGCTTTCTGCAGTTTAACAAACTGAACACCACCATGTGACCAGCATCCAGACCAGGAAGCTAAACATTTCCATCTCCCCTCGGCCACCCAGTCCTCCCTTCCAATCACTACTTCTGTGAGGGTAGCTACTATTCTGACCAAAACGGCGTAGGTTCGTTAGCCTGAATAAAGCAGACTGTATGCAATAGTATCAGAGAATGCTAAATTAACAGCTGATAGTCACCAAAATCACTGGCTACAGTCCCAGTGCCTGTAAACAACGTGGGATTTCAGGACACAGACAAATGAGGGCACACACAGAACTGTCAATGTTATTCAGGGGATGTGTTCCTGAACATCTCCTAGAATCTAAAGCTCCCATAACTCAAGCCTAGTTTTCTCATTGAAATAACTGTGAAGTAGGATTTGTATGACTTCACATTTGGGATCTAAGGCAAGACTTCTAGCATCTTTAGAATTGCCCAGTTTCCAAGTTAGCATAATTTGAATTCACACAACTCTCTCTCTGAAGCCCCTGTGAGGCCCTGAGGGACCATGTCTTGGCATCTCTGGGACCCTGGGGCCCAGCCCTGTCTACAGGATGTCTGAGGGTGGTTCTGGGGGTGGCACGTGGACCTGGAGTCAGGCTGCCCAAGCTCCAGTCCTACCCTGCAGCTTCCTTGCAGTGATCCTGGACAAGTTCTTACCTTCCAGGGCCTCAACTTTCTCAGCTGAGGATGTGCTCTGGGGTGTCCTCTGGGGATTAGGAGAGAAGTTAGTGAATGAAAAGTTTTGAGCGGGGGTGGTGGGGAGCACACAGCACAGCAGGGGTCTGTGGAGGTTTGTTGTCAGCAGTCCCAGCTGAGGCTCTCTTGCCTGTCCCCACACCGACCCCCTGCCTGTCCCCACATGCAGCGTGTGAGGACTTTACTCCCCAGGAGGGTGAGGTGAGCTGGGCAGTCTCTTGGCGGAGCCCACAGAAAGCTGGGACCTGCAGCTCAGATGCCAGATTGGGCAAGAGCAGAGAACCTGTCCCTCTGATCCTGGTCAGGGATATTTGGGGACAGCAATTATTCTGGAAAATTCCGAAGCTGGAAGTGAAAGGGGGAGGGACAGAGTGGAAACAGCAGGCTGCTCCCCAGCCTGTCCTGGCCTGGCTCCCCCCACCAAATGGTGTGTGAGGAGTGAGGTGACCGGCATGTGGGGATGGGGGAGACAGACCAGGAGACTTTTCCTTACTGGGGATGAGAAGAGATGCAACCCATCCCCCATTCCCACCCCCACACACCCCCCATGTTCCAAATCTATTTCCACCTCTGTTTACTGTTCAAAGTCCTGGGCACTGGAGATGCCAGGTTCGGATACGCAGACACACAGACGAATTGGGCTCAGGGTCCTCGTATGGACCCTGCCCCTACCTCTCCCATCATCCAGGACTGTCACCCATCCCAATTCTCCAGGCTTCAGCCCTCCCTCCTAAGCCTGGGATCTGCACAGCATTGAGGGACCTGGGAGTCAGATCTCGAAACCTTCAGCAAGTAAAACGGGAAGAAAGGCAGGTGGACTGGCTGAGGGGGACAGTTGGGGAGGGGACCCGGTGTGTGTGTGGGGGTGTGGAGGCTGGGTAGAAAAATGTCAGAGGATAGATTTTGGATATCAGCTTGGGAGGGGATAGTGGAAAGAAGAAAGGTCTCCATGGAGCCACGAAGCAGACTTAGAAGGGGTTCAGACTCCACACTCCAGCTCCAGCTCCGTTCAGCCCCGACTTCAGCCCTAACCTCAGCCTTGACTCAGTCCCAGGTCCACCACCAGCTCTATCATGACAAAGGAGTATCGAGACCTTCAGCATATGGACAATGAGGAGAACGACCATCATCAGCTCAGGACAGGTGAGGGATGCCTTTCCCCCAGATCTGAAAGGTGAGCATTTGGTGGCTGTCACCGCCCCCACCCCCAGCCTCAGCTCCAGCTTTTTCCCACCACCCCTGGCTCTACCTCTGGGTCTGTCCCACTTGCACAAAGAATAGTGTCTGAGTCGCCTCTCTTAGAGGAGGTGCAGGGTGTGGGGGTGGGTCCCTTTCTTGGTGACAGGTGCCTCCTGACCCCGGGGGTGGACAAGGGTATGGAAACAACTAGAAGCCGAAGAGATGAGCTTATTATCTGTTTCTTATGAAGATATTAGGTCCCCTCTTCCTTTCCTCTTCCAGTACCCGGGGAGCTCTGGCTGCACGTGCTCTTGTGTGTGCGTGTGCGTGTGTGAGTGTGTGTGTGTGTGTGTGTGCGTGTGCGAGTGTGTGCGTGTGTGCGCCTGCATGTGTGTGTGTGTGTGTGTGTGTGTGACTTCTTGAAGAGGCTGAGGATGTTTGTGAGGGAGGCCAGGGGGTCTCTGATCAGAGGGAGGATGGGGCCCTTCAGCATCAAAAACAAGCCCCCTTCAAACCACTTCTTTATCCTCTGAGCAGGGAGTGTTGTTTAGGCTGAGCAAGGAGGAAGTTCTTGGGTTGGGCAGTGCCCTTTGACGGGGAAGGGGCCGCACCCAGGGGACAGGGCTAGAGTGTTCTCTTTTCCTTGGGTGGGAGCGACATGAGGGGGTCTGAAGTCTGGCTACTCCGTCTTCTCCCCCTGCACGCAGCTAAAGACGGGTGGGATGCATGGAGAGAGAAAGAAAACTCCTCTTCTCACCTTCAGGGTGGAGCAGCAGCTCCCCAGACCGCGGGCCACTCCGTCAGCCGCGGCTCAGACCCTCAGGAATCGATGAGGTTTATCGGCTGCAGTGATGCAGTCTTGCCACTAGGTGTCAGCAAAGACTCAGGGCTTGGGCGGGCTCAGGGCAGGCCAAACTTTGCCCCCTCCTGAGCTCTCTTCCCTTCCCCACTTCAGGTTGCCTCTGGCCCCCGCAGGGTCGCCTACTGCCCAGATTTCTTTTCCTTTTTTCTTTTATTAAAAAGATGACCGGTAAGGGGATCTTAACCCTTGACTTGCTGGTGTCAGCACCACGCTCTCCCAAGTGAGCGAACTGGCCATCCCTATATGGGATCCGAACCCATGGCCTTAGTGTTATCAGCACCGCACTCTCCCGAGTGAGCCATAGGCAGGCCTTCTGCCCAGATTTCTTAATCGGTATGATTCCTCCCAGTCTATTGGAGGAGCCTTAGCATGCTCCCCTCCTGGACCCTGGAGCTGCTCCAAGCTCCCCTCTCTCTCTCTGTCCCTGAGCTCCTGACACCCTCTCCTCTTGCAGGGCCACCTCCTCCCCAGCCCCTCTTGCAGCGTCTCTGCTCAGGACCCCGCCTCCTCCTGCTGTCCCTGGGCCTCAGCCTCCTGTTGCTGGTGGTTGTTTGTGTGATCGGATCCCAAAGTGGGTGCCCCAGGGGTGGGCAGGGATGGAGGCAATATGGGGTGGGGTGGGGAGCACTGATGTGGGACAGTGGTGAGGGGAATGAGGGGTGCAGTGGTGGCGGACACAACTCCTTCAGTTTGTCCTGTCCACACCCTCCCCTGCCCAGACGCCCAGCTGCAGAAGGAGCTGCGGGCCCTGAGAGAGACATTCAGCAACTTTACAGTGAGCACTGAGGCTGACGTCAAGGCCCTGAGCACCCAGGGTGAGGGGGGCTTGGCTGGGACTGGGGAGCTGTGGGATGGTGAAGAGTCAGGACACTGAGCAAGTCTCTCCCCAGGAGGCAGTGTTGGAAGAAAGATGAAGTTGCTGGAGTCCCAGCTGGAGAAACAGCAGCAGGACCTGAGTGAAGGTCAGAGAGGGAGTGTGCGTGTACATGTGTGCGCATGCGTGTGTGCGCATGGAGGGCATAGGGGGTCTTTCAGGTCAAACTAAGGCGTCTTGTGGAAGGGGAATCTGTGATTAGTCTTTGGGTCCCAGGGCAAAGATGACAGACTCCTCCAGCCACTGTTCACACTGGCCTCATTTCCCTGCGTCCACGCCCATAATCCCCACTCCCTCTGTCTTCTGTCTCTCAGATCACTCCAGCATGCTCCTGCACGTGAAGCAGTTTGTGTCTGACCTGCGCAGCCTGAGCTGTCAGATGGCCGTCCTCCAGGGCAATGGTGAGGAGGTGGGGGTGCCTGTCCCCGCTTTCCTTCCCACATCCCCTCAGGTAGGGCCTCAGCCAGTTCACCCTCCCTCTGTCCCCTCAGGCTCCGAAAGGACCTGCTGCCCAGTTAACTGGGTGGAGCATGAGGGCAGCTGCTACTGGTTCTCTCGCTCTGAGAAGCCCTGGCCCGAGGCTGAGAGGTACTGCCAGCTGGAGAACGCCCACCTGGTGGTGGTCACCTCCGGGGACGAACAGGTGAGGCCCCAGAGGGCTCGAGTGGGAGGCTGGCTGGTCTAAGGGAGAGGCGGTCACCACCCTCCTCTCCCCCAGAAATTTGTCCAGCATCACATAGGCCGTGTGAACACCTGGATGGGCCTCTCAGACCAAAATGGGCCGTGGAAATGGGTGGATGGGACAGACTACGAGACAGGCTTCAAGTGAGTGTGTGTCCTCCGGAAGCTCGGCTCCCTCTGCCCGGCCCGCTGCCTTCGCAGCCTGTGGCCTCACGTGGGAGGGGCCTCCTGGGGACTTGGCTAAACGTCCCTCCTTCGGGGGCCACAGCTGAGTCATGTCTGCAGGAACTGGAAACCACAGCAGCCTGACGACTGGCATGGGCACGGGCTGGGAGGAGGCGAGGACTGTGCCCACTTCACTGAGGATGGTCGCTGGAATGATGAAGTCTGCCAGAGAGCCTACCACTGGGTCTGCGAGACAGAACTGGGCAAGGCCGCATAGGGGCCTTCTCTCCCCCTAATTTATTTCCTCAATGCCTTGACCTCCGAAGGGTCAGGGATTGGGAATCCTTTTATCTGGAGGCCTCCTCCGCCTTCTCAAGGATTTTCATCTATGATTTTAAGGGAAGTGTAAAGGGTGGTGCCTGAGGAAATGCTGGGCAATGCTTGGAGGGGTGGGGAGATTGAAACCCATATCACTTTCTGCAGTGTGCAGATTATTATTGTCAACTCTTTTTAGAGTAAAAAGAAGATGTAATTCTTCTGGAGTAAATTCTAGAGTAAAAGGAATGTAATTCTAGAGTAAAAAGAAATGTAAATTCTATGAGTTGTCTGCTTATTGGGGGTTAGGAACCAGGAGTGGGCTGGCTGGCATTAGGAAGCCTTGGGGAGGCAGCGTGGCACCATGAGAAGTGTCTGGGCTTTGGGTCACATGGCCTGGGTTAAGAGCCCAACTTTATTAATTACAGGTATATGAATTTGGGCAAGTTATTCTGTTCTCTGAGTCTCAGTGTGAAATAGTACTGTTACTGGAGACCATACTACCTGCAGCAACACCTCCCAGGAATGGAACTGCCCCAATTTGTTCAGTGCTTCAAAAACTTTGAATAAAACTCCCTGCTATCCATTGCATTCATTACAGTAAACAGAAGGAGCATTCACAGACAGGTAACAAATAGGATGACTACACAACCAGGAGTCACCAAACATAGGAGGAAAACCAGTCGCATGGAAGAGAAGCACCAAATTAACAGAATCAACAACCAAGGATGGGAGTTAGGACAAACTGATTAAGATCTTACAGATACTCATCTAATTATCAACGAAAAATGACAAAGTATTTGCCCCTAAAGGAGACCTCAGCTAATTCCAAGAAGGAGCCATGCTCTAACCACAATAAAATATAGAAATGAGCACAAAAGTACAGCCAAAAAAAGATCTATCACATATAATTTTCTCACCATCTTTCCAAATAATTTTGAGTTCAAGAGAAAATCAAAATGAAAAAGTCAAGTGATTTAGAAATGAACATAGAGAGCATTTCATATTGAAACCGTGGGGTTGAAAGCAGTTCTCAGGAGGAAATCTATATAGTGATAAGTGCATTTATTAAAAAATGAGAAAGGCTGAATTTATATAAGCTAAGTTTTAACTCAAAAAGCTGGAAAAAGGGCCGAACCCGTGGCTCACTCGGGTGAGTGTGGTGCTGGGAGCGCCGAGGCTGCAGGTTCGGATCCTACATAGGGATGGCTGGTGCGCTCACTGAGCGCGGTGCGGGCGACACCAAGCCAAGGGTTACGACCCCCTTACCGGTCACAAAAAAAAAAAAAAGAAGCTGGAAAAAGATTAACAAAATAAATCCCCCAAAATAGAAGGAAGGAACTTACAAAAATACAAGCAAAACTCAATGCAGTAGAGAATAAAAATGTAGATATGATCAATAAAAGAAAAACCTGATCTGGGAAAGGTGAATAAAATAAATATGAAAGAAGAAAAAAAGGAGACCGACGCAACTTTAAAAAGAAGAAAGGTTATATAAGTACAGACGTAGATGATATATAACACTTTTGGATTTAAAACAGCGAAGTAGAAACAGTATTTTCCCTATCGTTGTAATTTTTAGGCAAATCCCTTAGAAGCAGAGATTATAACTTCCATATTTATAAACAGGAAAAATGAAGAAAAAATATTTATCTAAAAGAAGGTTGGAAAGATTAAAAACCTCAGAACAGGTAGACAAGGAGCACTAGATAAAAGGTTAGTTATGAATTAAAATATGTTGCTGATTATATTAAGTGCAAAAGACTAAGTTATCTTGTGAAAAGACAAAAAAACTTCCAGACAGAATAAAAATAGAATTTAATTATGTGCCCAAAAGACACAACTGAAAGAGAGAATTTGAAAGCAAAAGTATAAAAAAGGCATATTGGGCAAATTATAACCAAAATAATTATCAAATAAAATACCCCTTATAACAAAAAGTATTATTAGAGATAAAAAGGATCACTTCCTAATGATAAAAGGTTCAATCTGACAGGAAGATATGTCAATGTTAAGTATGTGTGCAGTGAATAATGTAGCCACAATATAAACGAAATGAAAATTTTTGAAGTATGAAGGGGAAAAAAGCAAATTTACATTTATAGTAGAAGATTGTAAAACATTTCTCTCAGACAAAATAAATAAATAAATAAATAAATAAATAAAATCTATAAGGAGGCAGATGTTTTGAATCCCACATTGAACTATGGGTGTTATGACCTAGTGGGCATATTTAGTACACTACACTCATCAAGTGCAGAATACCCATTCTTTTCAAGTACAGTGAGACATTTTCAAATAATTGAGCAAATACTGGGCCGTAAAGCAAGTCTTAACAAATTTCAAATGGAGAATGTTCACTATAATAACCAGAAATGTAAAACTCTTATATCAAATATTAGCTAAATAAATCAAACTGTATTAAATGAGATAAAATGTTCAAATAGGATATAAAAGAAAAATTCAAGGATAGTTTAACACCAGCAAAACCTATTAATATAAAAAATGTAGGGGGGCCGGCCCGTGGCTCACTCGGGAGAGTGTGGTGCTGATAACACCAAGGCCATGGGTTCGGATCCCATATAGGGATGGCCGGTTGCTCACTTGGGTGAGCGTGGTGCTGACAACACCAAGCCAAGGGTTAAGATCCCCTTACTGGTCATCATTAAAAAAAAAAAAATGTAGGGATCACAGAAGAATATATTAAGGGAATACAAAACTTAAAGAAATGACACAATAGATAAAAAGCACTTTGCAAAAATTCAACTCCTACTTATGATGAAAACTTTCAGACTCTGGCTGCTTCTATCTTGTTGCTCCACTGTCCTCACCATATGGCTTCTGTCACGTGTTCCAAAATGTCTGCCCCGCTCTAGTCATAACACATTTCAGACAAGAGAAAGGAGAAAAGAGGAAGAGAACTGCACATTCTCTGTCTCTCTGTTACGAGGACACTTCTGGAAGTTGTATGCACCACTTCAGCTTTCCTCTGCTTGATCAGAACTAGTCCCAGGGTCACAGTTAGCTATGAATGGGTCTGAGAAGTACACTCTTATTCCACGAGGCCAAATTTTAGCTAAAAAACCGGGGGATTTTATTATTGTGGAGCAGGAGTCACCAAACATTAGCCCTCACCTGTTTTTATAAATAAAGTTTTATTGAAACACAGCCATGCTCATTTGTTTACATATTATTTATGACAGCTTTCATGTTACAACAGCAGAGTTGAGTGTTATAATAAAGACTGTATGGCCCAGAATGCCTGAAATATTTTCTATCTGGCCCTTTACAGAAAATGCTGACCCCTGGTGTAAAGGAAAGGGGAGAATCAATATTAGGTAGGGGTCAGCTAGAAGTCTCTGTCATACTGCTGTTATTGCTGCTGTTTAATATTATCCTGGGTGTACTGGCCAGACCGCACAAGACTAGAAAAGCCATTTAAGGGGCCAGCCTGGTGGTGCACTGCTACAGTGCGCCACTTGGGAGCACGGTGGGGCTCCCGCCGAGGGTTCGGATCCCACATACAGACTGGTTCCCGCTCACTGGCTGAGCGAGGGGCGGGCGCAGCACCGAGGGTTGCGATCCCATTGCCGGTCCCGGTCCGGTACGGGTGCAACACTGAGGGTTGCGGTCCGTTGCCGGACACGAAAAAAGACAAAAAGGAAAAAAAAAAAAAGCCATTTAAGTTGTAAAGATTGGAAAGGAAGAGATAAAACAATATAATCATCTATGCAGAAAATCAGCACCATCTACAGACAATTAGACCTAATAAGAGGCTTTAGCAGGTATATTAGTTAGCTATTACCACAATAATGTGTGAAGAATATACAAGAAAAAAATTAAAATTCTTTCCAAATTAATGTATAGATTCAATGAAACGAGAATAAAAATTTGAGCTGGATTTTTAAAAGCAACTCAGCAACCTTAAAAAAAAAAATATATATATATATATGGCAAGATAAAAGTCAATTTGGGAAAAAAAAGAGCAAAAGTTGGGGTAAGCGGAACAAGCCTTATTAGACATTAAGATATATTACAAAGCCGTAGTAATAAAAAAAGCATGGTAATAATACAAGAACAGACAGATAGACCAATGCTATGGAATAAAGAGCTCAGAGACAGAATTATGCATAAGCGGGAACTTAATATACAATAAAAGTGTCATCTCAAATTGGAGGAGAAAAGACTGGGAAAACTGACTCTCTATATGAAGACAAATAAAACTGGATTCGTACTTACCCTCACAGACAAAGGTGGAGGCTGAATAGATTGAATACCTAAACACAAAAGGTAAAACTACAAAATTAATGGGAAAAAATAAGGAAGGAAATCTATACTCCTGGGAGTATAGAAGGACTTCTTAAATAAGGCCTCCAAAACTCATACCAAAAAGTCAAATAAATTTAGTGAAATTGCATGAAAATTAGAAATTTCAGTTCAATGACAATGTCACTCCCAGCAAGCAACAGATGGCATACTCAAAATGGGTAACTGGAGGATGTCTTAACAAAGGGACTATTTACAAAGGTGTGAGCAGGATTATGGAAGTCACAAGGAACCCAGGTATCCAGAGTGGGGAGCTGTTATCACCGCAGGCATCCAGGAAGAGGCCTCACAACTGGAGCTGGGCTTTTGGCTGCAGGGGGCAGCAGGCTCACAGCAACCCTGCAGGGAGGGAGCTGGGGGTCAACATCCTCACATCCCTCTCCTTCTTCCCTCTCATTTCCTGCCAGGGCTGGAAGCCTGAAGAGAAGAACTTGAGGGAGGTACTTTTCTTGGGAAATGATCGCAGAAAGTAAGAATGAAGGAGAGGAGGGTGTGGGATTGGGGGTGAGGGGGTGGAAGGAGAAAGGACCAGTAGGGATGCATTCCCAAGGCTGCCACATGCTTTGGGGATAGGGGCTCACCAGCATCTCCTAAGTATGCAGAATAGTTGACCTAAAGGAGGGGCGTCTGGAGGATTTACCCCCCAGCTCCTGCTCCTCATGGGTGTTCACTCCCTTGCAGTTCTGGGCTGTGCTTATGCTGGCTGAGCAGGATCCTACTGGCCTTAAAGGAAATTCCCTGGGGCGGGAAGCAAGGCTCCTGCTGGAGGTGGGAGTTTGTCAGCAAAAGGAGCTATTTGGGCTCACATGGAACTGTCCACCTCTTTTGCGGCTGAAATCAGTGGGTCAAGGGGACATGAGGAAGGACACCAGAGGTGTCCATATGCAAGGCCTCATATCCAAACTCCAGTAAGAATGATGGGGATGCACAATAACAACCAAAACATAAAATAGCT